ATTAATACTAATCTAGTAATGACATCCATTGACAAGGCCTCCCAAAGAATTTGTCTACTGTGAAGGCTCCCTTTCATACCGCTTTGTTCCTTGAGTCACCATTTATCTATTAAAAATTAATGATCTAATGTGATTCTGTGACATCCAATAGTGAATGTCTTCAAGTCGCTCTCTTCCATGTTAACTACCTAACATGATAGATCTTTCATTATTGGGAGGAGGCCATTGAGAGCGTATCAATCTCTATTTGAGTTTGCATCTGACTATACTTCTACATATAAGTAGGTAATGGAGCTTGATATCCACACTAACTACTCATCCAATGTTTATGTCTATTTGTATAGGTATACCAACTCATGAGCCTCTGGCTCTAAGGTGCGCAATTGCATTTATTACCTCTTCTTTTTTAGTCATTAATTAAATCACTAATTCTGCTACAATTTTTACTAGTGAGGATAATAACACCATATACATCTCCCATCTTAGTGTTGTCACCCTTGGTATCCACTATCATAGTTTGAAACACATCATTGCTTCCTCCCTAGTTGGGTAAACCACACATTGTTCACATTCCTACCTTACCATGATGATTTGCTTAAAACAAAGCCATCCATCATTACTTGTCTTTCTAGCAGCCATGTACTCCCTACTCCAAGTGCCTTTGCTAATAAAGACATCATTATTGGTTCCCGACTTTGGTAAACAAAACAATGAAAAAAACTAATTTGATGATATATGTCTATATAGCCATCACTATACTATCCACCATTGATTTGACTCTAATTAGTATCTTGTAACTCCCCTTATCATCTCTCATCACCTTCATCTTTGATATCTTCATCAATATATAATGAATTAATAACTTCTTATCCCTCTTCTTAAATTTCAAAGAAAGGAGGTCAAAAGTCAAAGTAAAGTGATTTGAAAGTATGGGCACTAAAAGGTGTGCTTTGGTGTGTGTGTAGAGTTTGAAATTGAAAAGAAAATATAATGCATCAAAAATTTTAAACCTAATTTAATCATGAATATAGTAGAAGCTTCCAAGTTGCTCATTGCTAATGTAATAACACCTATTGACTAGAGGGCTAACTAGTTTTACATAAAGTATTTTGGTTGGATTCTTACTCTCTTGAGGCATATACATTTACCCACTGATTTAAGTATAGTGGACCAAAAATATTCTATAAATTGACACACCGTCAATTACTCATTCTTGAGTAACGCCATGGTGCCTCCAAATGATGCCTACCCTAGCAAGCATCATGTGTCGGCTGTCCCGCTGTCATCATCTAACCACAACCACATCACCACTTTTCAATCCAATTAGAGCAAATATCACTACAGAAAAATCGTCAATTACCGACGGATTTTTCCGGCGGCTTGCCGGCAACCTATTTTTCCGGGTGCTTTCCGGCGGCCTAAATTTCAGAAAAAAATCTAACGATTTTCCGGCAGTTTTACGGCGATTTTGTTTCCGGCAGCTCTTCCATCGATTTACCGACGGCTTTCCAGCTTTACCGGTAGCTTTTAATAATGAATTTAATTAATTAATATTTTTTGTTTATTTTAATTAATTATTAATCTAATAACTTAGTCTAACTAAGTATTAATAAAATAACATATTTAATTAATTATTAACTTTAATATTTTATTTATTATTAAATTTTAATGTTATATAGTTTAAATAAATTATAGTATACAATTTATCACATTTTCAAACTCAGCACAATGGTTGGGACTTAGTAGAACACGGTTCGAATCCCGGG